GGCAATTCTTCCTCCAAAATATAACATAATTCTAAATTAGTCTTCAGGATTTTCTGGGGCCCTGGTGGGAAGCAGCCCTACCTAACTACATTCCCACGCTCACTGCCTCTGAGCAGTTCAGGCACCAGAGTTGGAAGGTATGCACCCCCACACCTCATGCCCACCCCATTCCACAGTGCAGCATGCATGAGCAGTAACACCCCAACCCCAGTTAGCTCTCTAAGAAGGAGCGACTCCCTTTTAGATGCAATGCTATGATTTGGCACAAACCCGAAGACCCCTGTGCCACAATGGTGCCTAGACAAGGCAAATTCTTTACCATCAATTTATTTCTTATTGTCTTTCCTCCCATTTGTGTGGTCATTATGTGAAACACTTTAGTTCTAGATGCTTCTGATATATTTTTGGTTGTTTTGGTCCTTTATTATTTAAATAATAGATGTTTTCAAGTTACTTATTCATCCTAACTTCACTTATCTCAAAGTATTCTGGAATCATTTCTTTTCCTGTTTCCGTACTTTGTCCTACAGCAGTAGGGAACAAGCTTTGTTTGCAAAAAGCCAAAGAGTAAACATTTCCGGCCCATGGACCATGCGTGATCACTATCACAACTACACGACTCTGCCATTGTAACAAGAAGCCATAGACAGTGTATAAATGAATGAGCTGAACTGTGTCTCAATAAAACTTTATTTAAAAAACATCAAGTGGACCAGTTTTGCCCCTATAGTCCACAGCTTTCTGCAGTTGTCCTCTGGCATAAATTTCTAAAAGGAATCATTGTGTGGTGAGTCGTCAGAAGCACTGTACACACAAAGGGTTTTTTGCTTCGTTTGTTTGTTCGTATGTTTTTTCACTCAAGAGTTAATCCTGCTAGGAAAAATTCCAGATGCAAATATCACTTTATTAAACACTCTAAAAATAGTATTCCATAATTCAGCATTGCTATTGAGCAATCCAGTAATAGTGCAGTACTTTATAGATTGAAGGGGGTCTGCTTTTAATCTCTGACTGCTATTTAAATTTTTCTCTTTGATTTGCATGTTTTGGGTTGTTTTGGGGTTGTGCTATAGAGTGTGGGCACTCACCAGAGAAAGAAAGAAAGAGGGGGGGATGAGAAATCACCCTCTAGGGAGGATGGCCACACTGCAATCTCTTCTCCTTCACTCTCCTATCAAGACTTTGGGAACACACACACACTCGATATGATTTTCAAGCTGCCAGGTCTGGGACTTGAACCACACAGCTGACCATGTGGAATCCAGTGCCTTAAACTCCATGCCACGTGCTGACCCCATAGCTTTTTTTGGTATATACATATTTCACCAAAATATGCATAGGCATAGCATGAATATCTTTTCTTAATTTGAGAAAATCTTAAGTCCTTCCCTCTCTTGTTTGTCTCCATCTGAATCAACTCTTACTCAGACACTGATCCTACTACATGTATTTTCCATAACTCTTCACCTTGCTCTGTGTGCACCGTTTTCTTGTGCTGATGCTTTCTGGGGAAAGTCCTGGACTTCAGCTCATAGCTGTCTAATTTATCTTCCATTGTATCCATTCAGCTACTTAGCACATCTACTGAGTTCTTGAAGTTGTCATGTTTTTCATACTGTTTCCAGCTGTATAAATTATTGTTTTTCTGCTTCATAAGTCCAATTTCTATCTGAATCCCTTAGGTACTATTTATCCTGCCAGGAACAGAAAATCTGATAAGTAGTGGCTTCAGCAAATCAGCCTGTTCACTTTGTGCAGAGCAGGAGGTTTGCAAGTGGTTGCTGGGATTGGGTCAGAGCATTAGAGCCAAGGTCTCTTCCTTCCATGGCCTTTCCTTCATGGTCCCCTGCCACTTAGCAGCAGGAAGAAAGGAGAACAAAGAGACAGACGAAGGGCAGAGCCATTCTTTTATCAATCAAGCAAGGGCCTTCCCAGAAATCTGCAGCAGACTTTACTCATCTCCATGTCACCATCCATAGCAGACCACACGTGTACCTTGAGCTGCTAGAATGTCTTCATGGTTGATTTTGGGTCCCCCAGACCCTGTAATAGATGAAGGCAAGCCAAAATCTAGTTGGAAACAATACCAAGTGAGTCAGTCTACAGTATTTGCCACAATCCCTACTTCTCTGAGATTCTGTGTGCTTATTTTCAGTTTATTTCTTTGGTCCACATCTCAGTACAGCTGGTATGGTTTTGATTTTTTGTTTGTTGGTTGGTATTTTCTGATGGTGTTTTTAAACTTTCCCACTGTGGAAGAGAGGGTCGAGAGCTCAGTGATGGAGTCCTCAGAAGATGGATATGAACCCAGGTCTGTCCTTTATTTGGAGAAGATGACACCCTCAAAGTGGAAAATCTCTGGCGTTAAGAACTGCATTTCTGTCCTGGAACTAGTCCTTTGCAATGGCAGTTTCCAAAGATCAAATCCTGGAGCCCTGAGAAGGAGAAGGATGAGAGGGAAGCTCAGAGGGGTTTGCCTGCTTTTGTTGGTTCTCTCCATCCTTCCATGGCTTCCTGTTACCCACTACTCACTGATGTTGCTTGACTAGAAGGTGGCAAGTTCACAGGTCAAACAGTGACAATTCTCTGGGATTGTTGAACACCCTTGATCTCATGGCTGGGAAGCCAGAAAGATGTGTAGATGGAGCACATTAAAAATCCACTAGCTTTTGGCTAATTTTTGGAGTTCTGAAAACAACGGATTTTGATAATTTTTACCAGTGTTATTGCTGCTTGTATGGGAGCGTGGGTCCTTGAGGTCCTTGTTCTCGTGAGTTTGGCTTACTCTTGTGGGCTCTTGCACGTGCTCTTCTGCTGAGGGGAGAGCAGCAAGAACATCCTTGTCTTCTTCCAACAGGTCGCTATTGGACTTCCCAGCCTCCAGAACCATGAGCTAAACTAACATCATTTTTTATTATTATACATTTTCTAATCTATGGTATTCTGTTATACCAGCAGAAAATGAACTAAGATAGCACCTAAGTCTGAAGACCTTGACTATTACAAAGCCTTGCTTGGCCAGCCAGAATCCCTTTCCCCCTTTGTTGTCTTTAGAAGAGCTTTTGTGACAGTTAAATTTATTCTCCAAGAGCATTTTGTAATCCCTTTCATCTAAGCTGAAGAAAATTGAGAAGCCATAGATGCAGTATCGATAGTCCAAAGATAAGTTTTTATTTGGGAATAAAGGAAACCTCCATAAGTTTGCCTGTCCTCATTTGGTTTCTCCCGTAACACCCATTCCATTAGGATGGAGTGCAGGCTATCATGTCACGGAGCAAGAGAGGTCTATAGATTGCCCTTTGTCCTGAATACACAGATCAGGGTTCCCAGCCCATGTCCAGTTTGAAGAGAGCAATGGATGAGAATGCATGTGGTCCAGGCTTGGTCCCCGCAAAACAAGCACTCCTCCTCATTCCTATTCTCTTGACTCACTGAGACACCTTCAAGGTAAACTTGGAAGTCATTCCCTAAAGGCATCACCTTCATCACCTGAAGTCTGAGTCAGAGTGGAGGGCTGCCTCTCAGCTGTTGATCATCTCAGCTCTGCTATGAGAGTCATTGATATTTGTTTTTACTGTGCTTACACCATTATTCACTTGGGAGTCTATCTGTCATGGTGATTGGCCTACTACAGATAGAATGGGGGGAGGGAAATATTGTAATGTGAATAGGAGTTTCCCTCATATATAAACTCTTTTTAACTCCTTTAAGTTGGGCTCCTAGCAATATATAGCTCAGCCTCATAATGCAGGAAGACATGCAGGTCAGTAACATATCCTAAGATTCCAGCAGTCAAACTTGTTTCCAAATGTACCACATTAGCACAGGAAATTGGTGCACCTGAACCAAGAGGGGGCTCTAATACTGTTGGCAACTTACTCTTTCAAGACTTTAAGCAGGTCTTAAGAGGCATATAATCTCAGAACATTTAATATTACATGTCTAGACACAGAAAAAAATAAATAAATAAGCCAACGATAACCACCACCACTTTGGCTCTGGTACCGGAAGCACTGTAAACCATTCTATCAATGAGTACATCTAAATGATTTCAGCCAAACACTGCCAGAAAGTGGGGAGAAACATAGGGACTGCAAAATGAGTTTATAACTTTTTCTCCCAGAGAACTTATCATTTGGTTTACGAGGCAAGATTCTCATACCCAAAATAGTACCAAACGTGGTTAGGTACCACATGACCTGCTCTGGCAAACAATGTGGGGGTTCCAGAGTGACATATATGTGGGTAGAGGTTAGCTTCAGAATGGCTTCATGGAAGAAATATCCTACAGAAAAAGAACATGGAGTTTAGATAAGGGTAGAAAAGAGGGCAGGCAAGAGGAGACCCACAGAGAGGGCCTCCTGAGTTCTGTCGGCTGCTGAATTCCATCAGCACCGTAAGGATTTCTCTTGCCTTCCAGAGAAACAGACACCCATTCTTTTATTCTCCTCCTCCTCTTTATTTAGTCTTAGCAAAAAGGGCAAAGTTTCACAAATAAAGTTTCAAGAACTGTTCCATTGAAATGACTGGTCATTTGCGTGCCCTTGAACAAATCCTCTCTGCCTCTGTGTCCCCTGCGATGCTGGGATAGTAGCCCAACACTGGTGTCTTACAGGAGCAAATGGTTCCATGAACATAAAGTGCCTTGGAAACACAGGACTTGGATTTCCTGAAAACTTGGACTTTCAGAAAACATGGAAGTCACTATCACCACGATCTGTCGGCCCCCCTGTTCACAGCAGCAGAGGAGTGAACTGAGGTTCAGGTGACTCTGTGCTCCTCAGAGCCACCTAGCTGGGTATACAAGACAAGTTTCTTTGATTCCGACCTAAATCTAGGGTTGCATCCTGGTCACCGGGCACCAGCTCTGTCTGGGCAGGTCACTTCCACAGTCAGATGACCTTTGGGACCCATCTGACTTCCTAGGTGAACAGTTTGTTTCACTGCTTGGCCACGCCTACCGTTTCCATGGCAACTCTAGATCCATTCCACACTCACTGATTTCCTGTTCCCATTGGCAGCAGCGTCTCTTTAACATCATGAGAGATGAAGTTTAAGAAGGTAGGCACATTTTAATAAATAGAGGTATAACTTAAATAGACATTTTTAGCCATTTTGGGGGTCCCAATTTCTCTACATCTGGAGTATTCTCTCAGTATTTTTCTTTAAAGAGAACAGAAGAAAGCAGACACTTTGCATAAAATTTCTTATAAGAATATTGGGAAAACATTGCCAATATAGAGTAAAACTCTTCTACATCTACTTGGTCATCAGAAAAGTCATGACGCATTTTTCCATGGTTTCTGACGACCCAATAGCTGAACAGAGATCTCTAACCAACATTTAGTTTGCCTTCATCTCCCAGAAGAGAAGATGTAGGCTTTGAATTCTTTCTTCGACACGCACGCATCTTCATGACCACCTCTCCATCTTTGTCCTCCCGATTTGGCATCACCCAGTACCCAGTCACAGGGGAGTAAAAATCACCAGCACACCAAGATGGTCCGGAGGGCTGAGCAAGCTCCCAGCAGTCCTAGGAGGGGTTGTATTAATTTTCTCATTTTTCCACTTGATTCTATTGAGGCTCAATATTGAGTTAAGTGGCCATGCTGCAAGATGTGTAAGTAACAGAGTCAGGATGCAAACACGTGTACAAGTGTGCCTTGACCACGTGGTTGGGGCCACGCCTATGTGGTTATGCTCTCAGTGAAGCAGCATCACAGTTCTGAATACTGACGAATGATTTTGGTTCCTATTTTGGATTCCCCCAGAAAGCAGATCCTGAGCACAAAAACATAGGAGGCAGTGTGTGTTCAGGAGCTGATCAGGAAGCAGGGACAAATAAGTAGAGGGGGTGAGACAGGAAAGAGGAAAGACCTCTATAAATTATAATATTGAGGCTGCTGGGGACTACCTCCTATAGGGTGGATCTGGATTCGACCATGACCACTAAGAAGTACACAGGACACCTTTCGGAATTACCCCTCACCACCTCCTCTGGGGGAGTTATCCCTGGGCATTTAACTCCCCCACACTGCCTGGCTGCGCTGTGTACAGCATGAGGAGCTTTCAGAACGTCAGAGAAGAACCTGGGTAAGACGCAGAGAACCTGGGCTCCACATGCGAGACTGGCCATGCTGAGCTGAGACTGGACTTTGGAAAACCATCTACCACGACTGCAGCTGCAGTCGGAGCTGCACCCATCAGCTGCAGTGTGGCACCAGAGACATCCACAACACCCTAATTCGAGCCTCTTTCACAATTTACTGAAGAAACTTGGTTCAGCCTTGCAAGTTGCACACTTACGTCTAACACGGCCTTTACTGTGGCTGTAGAGCAGCACTGTCGCCATACACACAACGCACACAGAAGCGACCACAATCCAAAGGTGAGCACCGAGGCTACCTGGCCCGGTTCTACTCCCACTTTCATCTCCACGAAGGTAAATTGCCCCATGTATCTCAGTTTCCTCATCTGCAAAATGGACATAGTAGAATCCACCCCGTGGCTCGATGCAGATTAAATGAGATAAGACATGTGAGGGACTTAGAAGAGCAGCTATAAGTTTTAGGTATTCAAGGGGTCAACAGGATTTTATCAAATAATTTGCAATTACCCACATATCAATTTCCTTCTCTCATAGCAGGAGGTGAGTGCACTAAAAGCACTCCAGGCCTTCCTACTCGTGACTGTAAGATGCTAACCAAGAGCTTAAACCAAAATAATTACAACTTCAGACACTAAACATCATAATGACAGGAAATTTCACCACCCCAAACCCAACATTTTCTTGGCACTTTGTCTGGAATAATGAACAGTGTTCAGGGCTTTGCTCTCACACACAGATTAGAACGACAGGGAGAGACTCTAAAGGCTCCTATTTTCACTTGGTAAAAATCCTTTACTCTGATAGAGTAACAGCTGGTTACAGAGGGAAAAACAGCAGCATAGAGCTGGGTAGCTTCTAGTCTCCACGGTAACAGTGTAGGCATTCTGACCCCTTCCTCACCTGATCCTCTTAGGATAAAGAAAGGGGCAAGGAGGCAGGAACTCTAAGACACCAAAGCCAGCCAGCTGTGGGGCAATCGATGACAAGTCAGCAACCATGACCCAGAGGCGCTTCTAACTACCTCTGGTTCCCTCACTTTTCCTCAGAATTATCTTTTCAGTCAGAGTGATAGGAGGCCAGCGATCAAGCAGAACTTCGTTGCCATGACTCACTCCCCCTTGGAAGCCACAACACATGAACAAGATGGCGCCTGGGACGGCGGGCCGTTAGCAGCCAAGCACACTGGTCACAAGATGATAGGTCTCCACAGGCATGAAATGTATGATATTTCTCTCCATCCCATAAGCCTGTGTTGTTTTCTAGGAAAGATAACTGAACAGCTTTTGAAAGATCAAAGCAGCACATCTCAAAGCAAGGTCCACAGGGCTTCTCCATCAGAAGCCCTGGGGGCGGAGTTAAAGCGCACGTTGCCAGGTTGATGTTCAGAGGTTCTAGCAGAGTGAGCCTGGACGTGAGCCAAGGAGCTGTGTTTAACAACCCTCCGGAGTGTGTTTGGGGGCGGGGGGCTCTTCTGCACCCTATAGTTGGAACTCACTCATGTAGAACTTGGGCGTTACCCAAAAATCTAACTGTGCAAACTTTCCTCCATTCTGCTGTTAGTGTTGGCATTCGAAAGATCATTTTTAAATGTGACAGATTCCACTCTTTTGCAAATAACCTACGAGATAATCCGTTTTTGAAACTCTATATATAAAAGCATTCAAAACTACCAAAGTAAAAGGGAACCAGAAGTCTATTTTGGAAAATCGACTATAAATTAACCATGAAAAGTATAGCCTTCGGTTTCACTACCTTCATTTCATTCCCTATCTTGCCCCACCAGCTATAATAATGCTCATCTAGTTATTGTAAAGGGTCCCTTTGACTTTTTATAAGATAGAATTCTTATGTGCAAAGACAGAAACCAAATGTAATACATCACTAACTGACCTCTTCCTGAAAAATCATAAAGTCACCTTTGGGCGTCATCCAGTGTTACTCACACATTCATGTATTCCAGTTTCCTAGGAACCTACTGGGTGCTTGGTAGTGCTCTGCGTGCTGGAGCTAGAGAAATAAAACAAAACAGGAAACCCGACATCACAGAGTTCCCATTTAGGAGGAAAGACAGAGAATAAACAACTAAGTAAATACCAGCCATGTCAGATGGCGAACGTGCTATAGAAAAGTATAAAGAAAGCGGTGAGGTAGTTGCAGTTTTAAATAACTGGAATAAGAAGACCTCCAATAGATGAAACTTGAGTATGATGAGGGAGTACACCTTAGAAATGCCTGCTGAAAGAATCCTCAAGGAACAGGAAACACCAAGTGTCAAAGCCCCGAGGTAAGGCGTCCAGAGGTTGCACAGCTGGGAGGGAGGGAGGCGGGGGTGAGAGCAGAGAGGTGAGACCTACCAGGAGGGCACGTACCACGACCATGGCTCTTATTCCAAATGAAATCGAAGAAACCAAGCGAAATATCTGAACAGAGAAACTACGTGAGCTGAATTATACTTGGAAGGATCACTCTGGCATCTCAACTGAGCACCGACTGTAGGAGGACCGAGAAGCGACACCAGGGAGACCAGGTAAAACCATGCCGGATGAGACTCGATTGACCATCACAGGGATGAGAAATGGGGACACTGGAGAAATTCCGAAGGCGGAGTCGAAAAGATTAATGGATGACTCAGATGTTGGATCAAGAAAGAGCAGCCTCGGGTTTTCTTACCTGAGGACTAGAAAGATGGCTCTGCCTTCCCCTAGAGAAGGAAAACAATTGGAGCAGGGTTTGGGCCATGTTAAGACTGAAGCGTCTGTCAGAGACCCAGGACCAGCATCAAGAAAACTGTGAGATCTCTGAATCGGAAGTTCAGGAGACACACCCAGGCTGATGCACACATGTGCGAATCAGCAACCTGATGATAGTTCCCAGGACATAATCGTAAATAGAAAAGGGGAAGTTTAATGCATAAAAACCACGATATGTTAGCATTTAAAGATCACAGGGCCAATAGGTGGCATGGTGTTTAAGGCACTGGACTCCCACATGGGCAACAGTAGTTTAAGTCCCAGACCTGGTAGAAAAGTATAAAGAAAGCGGTGAGGTAGTTGCAGTTTTAAATAACTGGAATAAGAAGACCTCCAATAGATGAAACTTGAGTATGATGAGGGAGTACACCTTAGAAATGCCTGCTGAAAGAATCCTCAAGGAACAGGAAACACCAAGTGTCAAAGCCCCGAGGTAAGGCGTCCAGAGGTTGCACAGCTGGGAGGGAGGGAGGCGGGGGTGAGAGCAGAGAGGTGAGACCTACCAGGAGGGCACGTACCACGACCATGGCTCTTATTCCAAATGAAATCGAAGAAACCAAGCGAAATATCTGAACAGAGAAACTACGTGAGCTGAATTATACTTGGAAGGATCACTCTGGCATCTCAACTGAGCACCGACTGTAGGAGGACCGAGAAGCGACACCAGGGAGACCAGGTAAAACCATGCCGGATGAGACTCGATTGACCATCACAGGGATGAGAAATGGGGACACTGGAGAAATTCCGAAGGCGGAGTCGAAAAGATTAATGGATGACTCAGATGTTGGATCAAGAAAGAGCAGCCTCGGGTTTTCTTACCTGAGGACTAGAAAGATGGCTCTGCCTTCCCCTAGAGAAGGAAAACAATTGGAGCAGGGTTTGGGCCATGTTAAGACTGAAGCGTCTGTCAGAGACCCAGGACCAGCATCAAGAAAACTGTGAGATCTCTGAATCGGAAGTTCAGGAGACACACCCAGGCTGATGCACACATGTGCGAATCAGCAACCTGATGATAGTTCCCAGGACATAATCGTAAATAGAAAAGGGGAAGTTTAATGCATAAAAACCACGATATGTTAGCATTTAAAGATCACAGGGCCAATAGGTGGCATGGTGTTTAAGGCACTGGACTCCCACATGGGCAACAGTAGTTTAAGTCCCAGACCTGGTGGCTTGCTTTCTCACTTTCCTTTCTCTTTCAG